GGTTAGAGACTAAACAGCTCACAGCAGAGTTAATATAGGAGCTTAGATGCAAAGTTAGTAGAAACCCGTTCAATAACTATGAATATCACATGATATGCTAGAGGAAAACGTGTGTCAACTGACCAAGGCTGGAGAACTCATGGTGTGTGTTTGTAGATAGAGAACTGTGGTGGACGGGGAAGTAAGCTGCCAAGATTGGAGGCAAGATTTACGGGTAAGATGCTTTTAACATGGACCTGAAGTGAAAGAAAAATACTCAAAAACACTGAAGAGACAATATTCCGCAGAAGCGGCAATCTTTTTTAAATATCTATGTGAGTGTCGGGGGAGCAGTGGTGGTGGAGGATTAGATGAAAGGTGAGCACATGAAGAAATATGGTGAGGGTCATATAATGTAGTGGCAGTGAATCTACCTCTATTCTCTGCAGATATTCATTCTGGAAAAACAACTAACACGAGCATGTGGCGGATCTGTGAAGAGGAGATGGAAGCAAGACGATTAAGTCATGGGTTTGTTTATCTATTCAGGCAAGGGACGAAAAGAGCTAAAAGTATGATCTTGCCGAGAGAGATAATAAATGGGATCACAAATCTGGGAGATACATAACTTGATGCCTAGTTGGACACTGGGTTCTGAAAGAGAAAGGGGAGCTGCAAATGCCTCAGAAGTTTAAGTCAATGTAACTGAATGGTGATTCATGAGTTCCATTTGTTGGGATAAGAAAGAGTAACAACGACAACGAGACAGAGGAGATGCTGAGTTCAATTTTAAACAAAGTGAGGTGTACGCAGAATAACCAAGCAAAAATGTTTGTTAGACGCTTAGAAATACAGTGATGAACTCTGAAGATTTTATGTATGAATATTAATTTCCTTAATAAATAAGAAAAATAAATTATTTCTTATGACTTATGCAAGCCTTCTTTTGTTTTTAATTGTATTACTACTTATAATTAATATCCATTGCTTCCTGAAAGGAACACTTAGCTATTCTTTAATTACCCAATGAATTGCGTGTCCCATTTGCCAGCCATTTCATTGGCAGGTAACAAACAAAGGGCTTTAGTGGCTAATAATATGCTATGTCAAAAATAAAGAATTATAATGTTGTCCAGCACTTTAAAATGCAGCCATCTTTTGTTGTTGTTTTAATTTTAACAGTGCGGATTCAGTGGAGTTTAGTTTTTTTTTTTAACATGAAATATGGTGAACATGGTCTAATATTGTGTAGGGGTCAGTGTAATATGAAGCAAGAAAGCCATACCCTGGTTTGGGGACAAACATGTTAGTGGCCACCTTCACACAGAGATTTTAGGAGAAAAGATTATTTTGCAGGAGTGTCCTTGCGTATGCTCAACTTTAATCTATCATTTATTCCCTCAAAGCTCGGGGGCGTTTTGTTCTTCCTCATAATTAAGCTAATTTCCTCCACCCATATCTGTGTACCTCAACTTTCCTCATCTCTGGGATATTATCTCCCAATGAGTATCTCCCTCTGGATTCCTTGCTCCTTCTCTCCCTGGAAAAACCCACCTGGTTGTCACCAATATGAGAACAACAAACATATTTTATTGATTCTACCTGTCAAAATAAAATAGTTTGCCTCCCTTTATCCAGAAACTCCTGAAAGAAGTAGTTTGTGCTGTCTCCACTACTGATAAATCCTTTAATTCCTACAAACTTTCTACTTCCACCATTCTACTGAAAATGCTCTCCAAAAGATGACATAATGACAGGTTTTTGTCAAATATAATGGCTTTTTCTCAGTCATCATGTCTCATGACCTTTCTGAGATGTTTGCACTGTTGACTTCTCTATGTTTTCTGAAAAGGTCCCTTCTTTGGGATGCTGATACATTGTATTTCCTGATCTTCCAGGTGACCAACTTGCCTTCTCTTTTCCAGTTCTTTTACTTTTCCAAGAAGCTGTCCCTCTTTTCTCTCCACATTACTTTTTTTTTTTTTTTTAACAACTCTTTTCCTCCTTTGCCTTAGAACCCTAAGCTTCTAAACTAGGTTTACAAAATCTAGTCTGAGGATCCCAAGTGAGTGCTCTCAATGTCCAAGCCTCATTAAGATACCTCTGCGTGCATGTCCCATTGGCATCCACTCATATGTGCTTCCTCTACAAACTTCTACATTTGATCACCTCACCATCTTTCTTACTTGAGATCTTGGGGTTGGTATAGCTTATGTCATCAGTGCCTATTATTTTCCTGTGAAGCATCTTGACAGTTACAAAATAAGCAGTAGCACAGTACAGAGAGTATGACTGTGTTTTTAAAGCATTATTTCATGTAACTGAAAGAATATATACTGAGATATTCTTAGTGTTTTCAATGAGTTGTTAGGTTCTGTGGTTTTAAAAAACTTAATTCCTAATAATTCTACACTGAACATTAGTCCTGTCTATAAATAATGTGGAAAATAAACAAAAGTCACTTCCTCCTTCTTTCTTCTCTATACCAATTTCTCCCATTTTTTGGTAATACTTAGATGACTAAAAATCACTCTTGAGTCAAATCTCTGATTGAGAGTTCTTTCCATAGGATTTTATTTCACATGCCATCATAAGACTTATGATACCACTTTTTTTTTCCAATTCACATTCTAAGAATCCAGACTTTTCCCTTTGGCCTCCTCATCTCTCTCTCCTGGCTACATACCACGGCTGTAGTCCTGCCTTCTTCTGTTCCTTACTCAGCGCCTAGCATCTCCTTTGGTCCTCAGCGCTCTCCTCACTCCATCCTACTTACATCAGGCTCATCTTGCCCCTGAGTTAACGCCTCGATACAGCTACCGCTTACTGAAGCCAAACCAAATGGCATGCATCAAATCTATCTCTTTTAACAATCTTGCTGGCTTATCATGATGATCTTTGTTCAATAGATAAGGAAATTGAAATTCAGAAATGTTAAGTAATTTAAGTAAAGTCATATCCCCAGCAAGTGACAAAAGGAGACAAATTCATGTCTTTCTGTTATAAAGTTGACACGGCCTCCACTGGGCTGTGTAGTCACCTCCCTGTCTCAGCTGCTCTTGCATATTCCTAAAGTCCTAGCTTAAATCCATAATCTCCTTGAGGTTTTCACTGATTGACAAGGTCACAAGGGTGGCTCCTCCCTCCAGACTTCTGGAGCAGTCATCACTAGTATAGTTGTCTTCTAGCCAACGTTTGATCATTTGTGTCTATGTCCTTGATTGTACTCTCTTGGTTTGGAAACAATATCTTATCACTTCTTTGTAAGCTTTGCATCACCAAGCACAATCCTGAACATAAGGCAGTGACATTTAGCATAATATATATTTTCAATAAATTGCTGATTGATTATATAAAATATGCTATTAATGCTGATTTCCGTTTCCTTTTAGGAAGCTAAAAAAAGATATAACATCAAAACAGACATAAATATTTAATGCAAACTAATAATAGGAAATTTATAGTGCATATTACTTTTTCCATTACAAACCAACAATAAAATCAAGCATCAAATACAGTGTCATGCTCACAAGAAGGAGTGATGTCACATGTTTTTTTGTTTGATCAGCAATCTTTCACTGACACCAGTAAAGGAGCTAAAGGCAATAGTGCAATTTTTATAAGTAGTTTTCCCTTTTCTGCAGATATATCTAAATCTCAGTTGTAAGTTTTGATGTTAAGACTCATTATATCATATTTCTGTTACACATTTTTCTCATTGTGTAAAATTGGTCATTTTTTCCCATTTATATTCCAGAGAATGCTGGCTTTCAGATTTTATAAAGTCAGTTAAATTGGCTATGTTGACGCACTAAAAAACAATGAATTACTGTTGCTATGTTAACAGTACTTTTGAAAGAAGTGACAATAATTCAAGTTAATATTTAACATACACATAGAAGGGGGAAATAAGAATTACTTACATATAGGTTAAACTTTGTAAAAGTGAGTATATACAAATACTTTAAGACAAATGATATGTATGTCTGTACGTACATAGTACTTTCACTTTATGGAGAGATAAAGATATAAATTTCTTTTGCATATGCAGATTTAGATATATAAGTGTCTTTACATAGATGTGAAATATTTGGAATAGGAGTAGCCCTAGAAAGATTGTAATTACTAATTGGAATTTTTAATTTTCTTTTTCTTCACTGTATTTTATCATGTATCTTCTAACTTTAACATCTGTCTCAAGAGTGTCCATCTCTTGGAGTACCTGGGAGGCTCAGTCGGTTAAGCCTCTGACTTCAGCTCAGGTCATGATCTCATGACTCATGAGTTCAAGCCCTGCATCAGGCTCTGTGCTGATGGCTCAGAGCCTGGAGTCTGCTTCCATTTCTCTTTCCCTCTCTCTCTGCCCCTCCCCCCACTCACACTTTCTCTCTGCCTCTCAAAAATGAATAAACATTAAAAAAATTAAAGAGTATCCAGCTCTTTTCTTTCACCCTCACAGTATGTGTTTTCAGCAATTCTATTTTCAAAGTATTCCAATTTTCAAATCAATGGCCAACAAAACAATGGATTCCCATTCCAAAGAATATCTGTATATTTAATTAGTGGGAAAGAAAATGGCTGAATCTATTAGGTTGATTCATATGAAACTACTGTTTTTGAGGTAAAAAAAAATGGCTGAATATAGGTAATTTCATAAGTTTCAATGAATATAAGAATCAGTTTCAGACATTCCACCTGGCTGAAGCTTCTGAAATTCACGTTGTCCCCTTAGGACTTTGTAAACAGCGCTCAATTGCCCACTAGATGAATAAGGAGAAGCATATGCTAACGGTTCTAGCGCTTTGATAACCTTATCCAAAAAACACAGAATCAGAATCTATTTTAACTTTAACATAACTCAAAGTTTACTGCTATTACATTTAAAATATATGGGATGGATGCATCAATATTTTTTCAATATTTGAGCATTTCAAGACCTTACACATCCCTGATTATAAACTAGTTTTGTTCATAACAAACAGAACATCTATTTACCTGTAAATCTTACAAAGTCTCCTTACCTGCTTTGGGTATCTTTTCATCTTTTTTAATTTCAGGTTCTGGGGTAAAACATATACATATACACATACAAACAAACAGGTAAAAAAATTAAGCATTTGGAAAAAATGTATACAAGTCAATTTTAATAGATTTTTCTCATCTTTTCTCAGTTTTAATTATAGTTACATGTTTTATCAATATGCAATGAAATGTGTTCTTAGTAAGTTATAAAGTAACTTAAACAAAAGGACTTGATTTTAAAATCTAGTTTGCTAAAAGGTTTTATATTAAACATACTGAGTGATTTGTCTTTACTAACAACCCATTTCTTATGATTCTTAAGTTCTCTAAGTAATGTAAATAAAAAATTAATAATAACTACTTGAGGAAAAAGTGTTGTTAATTTTTCCTCATTTAACCAATTCAAATCATTTATTAATTTTGACTACAGACGTTCAATTCATGGAGCGCCACCTGGTGGTTAATTTAATAATTTCAAACTGGTATGTCTTGATTTTATTAGTATTTGTTATTAATTTTATAAAATGAATTAAATTGGCTTAAACTTAGTAAAGTTATATAAAACTTTATTAGAATTAAGTCCTTTAATTTCTTATTGTTTTAGGAAATGGCTTTTGTCTAGAAACTGTACTACAACTTAGTATAGGACAAATATATAGTTTTAAAAAGTATCCAAATAATATTCATGATACAATTCCAACCAAGGTAATAGTTGGCTATATTTTCATGCTTTCCAGTTCTTTCTATTGTTTAAACAATTTTGCTTAGGCTGCATATTTCTCCTTTCCTGGCAAAAAGTATTGTTTTGATTAATGGAAGGGTATCCCGGTACATTATAATTTTTCCTTCCTTCAAACAGCTGAAAAACTAATCTCATGGTTGGGATATTTTTTGAGTACAGACTATGTTATCTGAGATAGTGCTACCTGGCTTTATTTGAGTTTTAGCCTAATAGAGTCTCATTTTCTGGAGTTATCAAAAAAAACCAAAAAAAAACAAAACAAAAAAAAACACCCCTCATCTGTTTAACAGCAGAATTTTATATAGTAGAGAATTGCATAGCCATTCACACCCTACTTCCTATAATACTTGAATACATATCCTGTAAAAGGTGATATCACTGCTGTTATCACACTTTAACACTCTCTAGCACATATTCCTTTCTTTTTAGTTAACAGATTATCTAAACTGAGTAGAGCACATGTTATCCTAATGCTTTCCATGTGCCTTAATGTTATAGAAAAAATTGTATACAATTTTAATTTAATTTTATTTATTGTCTGTATCCCTGTATTAGATTTTAACTTCCACAAGAAATAACTATGTCTTGTGCACTATTAAAATATCAACATTTGTTTACATATCTGACATGTGGTATATTATCAGTAAATACTGTGGAATGAACGGATAAATGCACAAAAGGGTGAATATAGAATGACCAAAAGCTCCCTCTATAGTGTATCTATAGTCCTAGAAGGAATTGATTCATCCCATGCTTCCAGAGCTAGAAATAAAATTTCTTCCAGAGGGGTTCACAAACATGTTGCTCATTAGGTAGAGCAATCTATTTGAATGGGCCTTGCTTCTTACTACACATGATTTTTTCTCCCTTATCACATTGTCACTGTAGTCTTGACATGGAATTATTTTAGTCTTAATGTTTGTCAAGAGAGCTTCTTAAAAACATGAAAGTTGTTGAGAATATTTTTATCAGTACATTATGATTTTTACGAGTACAATACAACCAGAATCAACTTCTATCTTGTACATAGAATGTTACAAACTTTCTTATGAACATGCACTATCCAACATGCATGTGCCCATGCACCCTCAACACTGACTTTTGGTATTGTGTAAATGACACTTACAATATCACTTCACAAGTTATGAGTTCAGGGAAAGTGTAAAAAGGAGGTTTTGAATCATACAATCTGGCTTTAAGAGCAAGTTCGTTCACTAAGTTTTGTGACCTTGGGCATTACTGAAAACCTTAAATCTCAGTTTTGTCATTCCAAAAATGGAGAAAATAATGTTGTAAAATTAATGAGAATTGTAAGTGATGTATGCAAAGTGTTTAATTATTTCAAATTATGCTCATAAACTTAAATTACATGGTGATTTTCATTTTTTCTTACAGAATTAGGTCTTTACCCTTGAAGATGCAAACGAAGAGTTGATATGTGAGATTATTGTCAAAGGATTTTCTAAGGTGATCATCCATTTTATTAGACTGCTTGCTAATTCAGAGCTAAGTGTCTTCATTTTGAAGATGGCATTGCTACTGAAGGTTATGTCTTTAATTTTTGAGTCACATATGGATGCTTGTTCCTAGTCATATAAAAATGGCAGCCATATATACATATATATTTGTTTAGTCCAAGGGTTTTATTGAGAAGCTTCAGGAAACTAAGGACAGTGGTTAATGCTGGAGATTGAGGCCTGGGGGCCAGAAAGAGGGAATAGGAATTTTTATTTTTATCCAATATTTACTGTTTGATATTTTTTTTACCACTGATTATTATCATATAATAATAAAACATCTGATTTTCATAAACATTTGTCACTTGAGCCCTTCGTTTTGGGCTCTACAGGCAAGCATGACAGAGACCTGGAATCAAGAAATCCCCACGCTGAGTTGTTGAGGCAGACAGCCTGTCATTTTATATGCAGCACTGACTTTTCCAGGCTGTTGATTTCATTTATGAAATGTAAATTGCTGATGGGCCTGGGGAAGGAAGCTTCATTAATGATTTTTCAATGTCATCATCACTATGTTCTCAAGTAAAGCAGGCCAACCGAACTTCAGCATGCATGTGCCTGAGTCAGAGAAGGGCAGCAATGGAGATCAACTATGTTTAGGAGTCTCTGTTTTGTTGTCATGAAATTAAAAGAAAGAAATCTATACAATATGTAAATTCCAAGAATCAACATTATTTTAAGAATGCATCTATTTTAGATATTTTGTAAGGAGAAGGTGAATATCACTGATTTTTTTTTCCGCTTTATTTTATTATCATTTTCACATTTGCTTTTTAGTACACAATGACCCTATATGTATAATAAATAATAATAACAATTAGATTTTTCAACCAATGATATTTTCCTCATGGCATTCACTAAATAATTGCATTATATGCATTATTTATATTTTATTTATGTAATATTAAATACTTGTGTGTTTATTTGATCTCTAACCCAATAGAATATAAACTTCATGAGTCTTGAGGTGAACTATTACTTTCTCTGATGAATCATAATGCATAGATCAGTGCTTTGTGCAGAAAAAGGATTAATAAATATTTGTTGCACAAATGAAGAAATTATCTTATATAAATCTCACATACGTCTTTGATGAGATATATACTACTATTACACCCACTTTACAGATAACCATACTGAGGCTTCGTAGTTTGTCTAAGTATATTTTCCCCAATAAGTTACAAAACTGGTCTTTGAATACTGTTTTTTATACCCAACTCCAAAGCCTTAAACACTTATAATGAAAACAGCTATAATTACTATTGCTACATAAAAAATAAAAGCTTTTAAACATTGCATACCTAAAAACATTACAGTAATCCACATTCTATATCTTATAGGTAGGTTGTATTTACCTAGGGCATATTATGTAGACAAAAAAAATTACTAACAGGATTTGTATCATTTAATTGGTGTAAACAATTTAGCCGTTGAAGTTTCCATTTTTTTTCGACCACTCATTGAATCATGTTGTATGAATTGGTTTCCTAAATTAAGCTAGTTAAACTAAATAAATAGATTGAGCATTGACAGAAAATTGATAGCTGTCTCATACACTCCTGTGGTTGTATTCCATATTTAATGGCATGGGAAGGTTTTACACTTAAGAGCAGGTCATGAAATATATTTTTGTAAAATATATAGAAGAATTTCAACTGTCAATTGTTCATGAATTTTGGTCTGAGGGAGTCTGGAAAACATGGTGGCTAAGGACACAATTCATACTGCTAGTCGTGTGTCCCAGATCCACCCCAGATGCCTATGTGACCTGAGCAAGTCACTTTCAGTGCTTTAATGTTCATATTAATAAATAAGAAGGATGCTGTAGGGGCACCTGGATAGCTCAGTAATTTAAGCGTCTGACTTCAGCTCAGGTCATGATCTCATGGTTCATGATTTCAAGCCCATATGGAGCTTGATGCTGTCAGCGAAGAGCCCCCTTGGGATCCTCTGTCCCCCTCTTTCTCTGCCTCTTCTCACTCATATACTCTCTCTCTCTGCCTCTCAAAAAAAAATTAACATTTAAAAAATGATTCTATAAAAATTAAATTGAACACTACATATGACGCATTTAGAGCAGAATCAGATACAATGCAAATAGCATACATTAGTCTGTTGATATTTTAAATTATTTCTTATATTTTTCTACCATACTGTTAAATAAAATATATTTTAAATAAAAATATTTTTAAATAAGACAATTAAAATTTTGAGTATTTAATTTAAAAGTAGTATTCATAAATTTCTTCTAAACCCATGTTTTTATATCATTTGCATTTTCTAATGAAAATCGGCCCCTTGTACATGCACATACATTTTAGACAACTGTACTATGGCCCTAATTATACTGCTTAAAAACAGGGGCACCTGGGTGGCTCAGTCAGTTAAGCATTCGACTCTTGATTTTGGCTCAGGTCCATGATCTCATGATTCGTGGGATGGCCTGTACACTGACTCCCTCTCTCTCTCTGTCTGTCTCTCTCTATCTCTCTGTCTCTCTCTCTCTGTCTTTCAAAAATAAATAAACATTAAAGAAACAAATTATATGCACAACAAACACATGCACACACACATATACACTTTCACACTTTGTTTTTTCCGTGATGCTTTATCGGAGGGGATGGAGAACTACTGTCAATCCTAGTAGCTTGACTTCAAAATTTGGGATTTGGGAAAATTCTTACTGAACTCATGTTTTTTCATTTCCTGAGAGGAATTGTTTTGCACACACTCCATCTGTTTTGATAGGTAGCATTCAATTTCATCTGCTGTGGAAACA